GTCAACGAGGAGACCACAACAACCAACCACACCACACACACACCAACACAACCAACAAACACACACGTTACATTAGAGGTGAGACCTGGTAACCCGACCGACCCAGTGACCCGAGTGTGCCGGGTGCAGTCCGGTTCTGATAGATCTCGTTTTAGTATAGACGCTAACTACCAAACTCTGCTAATTCACTGGTTTACACATTTTAATTATCCTTAAATTCTTCACAATTTAAAGTCCGTAAAGCACTTTGGGGCGAATGTACTGGAGCCTACCACAAACATTAGTTTAAATGCAAAGCCAGTCCAAGAGGCATCAGTTTCTCCTTTTCCCTAAAACTTCCGTTTACTTTTACATTCTAAACGTGGACTCAGAAGGAACAACAGATTTCATCACGCCAATAATTAAAAGTAATCTTTGCAATTTTCCTGAAAAGTACCTGAAAAAATGCTGATTGAATGGCATCTTGGTTGATTAAGGCTGCAGCCAGAATTTACACTTTAAATTGTGGCTGCTTGGGTCACAATTTTACATTCTGTTTGCTGGGTCTGTTGCGTGGACAAGTGTCCCTCAATGTGTAAAATCTGACATTATTTTGGCAAACTTTATTACTTTTATCCCGAAATACTATGTATCTGTGTGTGTGTGTGTAAGTGTGGTGTGTGTGTGTGGGTGTGTGTGTGTGTGTGTGATGTCTGTGAACTGTGTGTGTGTGTGGTGGTGGAGATCTCTACGCCTTGTGCGACAGATTAAAACAGGAAGAGTCCAGCCCCGGGGAAAACTCGCAAAAAAGGCAACTGTTCAACTTCTCTAATGACATAAGTTCACCACACACCACACACACACACACACACCACAACCACAACAGACACACACACACACACAAGGACAGACAACACACACACACACGGCACTAACCGTTTCCACCTCCTTCCTCCTCCTCCTCCAGTTTTCTGCTCACAACCGACCGAAAAACAACAACCAATCAACCCCACATCTCAGGCTGGGCCCACGGCCCCTTAACACAAACAATGTCAATCAATCAACATCAGCCACCTTCTCGAACAAATCTGTTAACCGTGACGAAACCAACATCTCCCATCCCCCCCCCACACACTGTCTTGACGGGAGACTGTTGCCTTGGAAACATAAAAAAAAAAAAAACAAAACCAATCAAACAAAGACTGCAGCAACGGCTAGGCGGCAAACAGGCGAACGAGATTGATGATGGAAGATGATGTTGCAGGGAAATGGGGCTGTCCAAACAACATGCCAAATCTAAAACTAACAGTATACCCACTCATGCTCTCTGCTAAGGCCATCTTCCGCTAAAGGGAGTGCTTCATTGCTTTTTTGAATTTTTAAAATGTTTCTTTCTTCTTACATTTTCCTTATTTTCCAGCGCTTCACCGAGCCATTCGCACGCAGTTTGACCACTTTTTCGCTTATGTCGCCATGATTTGCCACGGTTACCCCGGTGATTGTAACCACGCTAACACGGCCGACCCTTGTCGCGTATGCAACAGGGCTACCGAATCGAACCTGTGGATCCCATACAGTGGTATTATTATGTTTTCCATGTTGGAAAAGATATTAAAAGTCATTTAATGTTTTGATTTTGAATTTTTTTGGGGGGAGGGGAGGAGGTTGGGTTGGGGTGGAGGGGCAGAGCGGGGGGAGGCGGGGAGGGAGACAGCAGTCTGTAGTCAAGCTCACCGCGTCGCTTCAAAGCTACCAGCGCAGGTGAGTGACTTCCAAGATCTGCTGCTCAGGGCGGGAACAGTTGCCTATAGACAGCAAAGTCACACTGACACTATTGTAGTTGTGGTGTGAATAGTGTTTCTGTATGTGTGTTTGGTGGTGTGTGGGTGGTTTAAGGGTGTGGTGTGTGTGTGTGTGAGCTGCATTAACAACAGTGAACCAGGCCAGTTTCTGTGATGACCTTTCTTTGGCCAGAGGGAGGGTGCAGTGGGATTGGGGGGGTTGTGTTATATTTACTGAGCAGGCAGCCCGCAGGTGTTGTTTCCATATTATTAACCATATTATTACCTGATTATTAATGTTATTAACACAACACATCTGAGAGGGAAACACTGAATTATCCGTCAGTGGTTTAAAACTTCCTTTAACTGGTGGGAATATATGAAACTATCCAGGTACGGAGGCTCGAAGGTGACCAAAAAAAGTCGCGTCTGGTCCTCCGTATCCACACTTTAGATATTCTCTCCAGTTAAAGAAGCCGAACTACAATCTCAGTGTTTGTTTTTAACGGTAGCACGGCTGAGGTTGAGACCAACGGAGGAGGTTGAAGCTGAAGCCCCGCCCCCCCCGCCGTGGTTATTTAAACGGTGAGGGGGCGTGGCCTGTGACGCAGCAGCCACAGAAAGCCTTTTGAAAATACCTGTGTTCTGTTTGTAAAGTGAGAGTGGTGATCTTACAGATACAGTGCGTTGTCGGACCAGTGACCTCTGTGAGTACTGCTGTGCACAGTGTTGTACTACCGGGGAGTTCTGCGGTGCGGCGCGGCGTCGGTACTGCCGTCAGTATTTCTGGTTCTCCTTCAGTACGTTCAGTCATGTAGCATGTTGATGTTTCTGTCAGTACTCAGTCTGAGCTGCAGGAGGTGCTGCGACAGTTTGCATGCCGAGCAGAAGCTTCCAGGTGAAAGGTTTGGTTGCAGCCGTTGGCGTCTCTCGTTCGCGTTAAACTGGTCTTTGCTTTTTTCTTGCACGACAAACCACAACGGGCTCACCACTGCCCCCTTGTGGTCAGAGGGCAGAAACACCTTCTGCTCTTTAGTCGTATTTAACTCCTATTGGACTAAATATTCAGTATTTATAATCAGTATATAAACACTGACCCTATAATGCAGTTGTAAAGAAATATATTTCCATTTTAAAGTTTTTATTAATCTATTTAGCAACTTCTCCTGGTTTGTAAACAGTTAATGAATGATTGATAATGCAATAATCCTATTTAATGATACGTAATTACTGTTTTAGGACTATATTATTAACTGTTTATGCACATGCAGACTATTCATTGTGTTTAAATCCACTCGCTAGCTGTCATGAATGAATAGAGTTTGCTCAGTTGTCATAGAGGGTGAATCAGTATCTATAAATGTATAAACTTAATGCTAAATGATTAATTCATAAATGTGTGTGATTACAGCTGTGCCATACTGTGTTCTCAACCATTCATCAGGAGGACAGTTGTTGGTAAATAGATTGCTTTAAAATGCACCACTTTAGAGCTGCTTCATAGTGTCATAAACAGTTTATAATACACATTATAAATGCTACGTGGCACCTGGACGTCCCACCTGAGAGATCGGCCAATCAGACGGCTGCAGTCAGACCTTTCCAGCTTCCACAGTAACAGGCCGCGGCGGGGTCCGTCATTTAATGCGACTTCTGGGACCGTAATGGTTAGTTTTGACCAGATCTGAAGGTCTCAGTGTGCTTCAGATGAAGTAGGATTGGACGGCAGGTTGAAGACGTTGCAGTCTGTTGTTAAGGCCCGCCCCTTTTCTGCTCTGTAGGAAAAGGGGCGGGGCTTATAACGGGTCTATTTTCAGAACGCTGTCAGACAATCCGACACCGAGTTTGAAGCACGCAGAGGCCTTAACATCTGTGGTAAAATGAGGTTTAAGGCATATTTTTTTCACTTTTTAAGAGCTAGGCTACCAGTTTCCCTCTGCTTCCAGTCTTTGTGCTAAGCTAGGCTAAAAACATC